AAGAAAATTTAGCAAATAAACACTCAATTTTAAATTCACACTATACTGACTATCGTTATGAATTCTCATACATCCCTGTTCCACTTTGCCTGGAAGGTGAATCGTTATGTATCTAGTGCATACATTTAGTATACATGACATTGCAGCTAGCCGTGTATTAGTTATCTTAGTTATTAGATTCTATCCCATGGTATGGATTTTGCTTCAGGTCACTTTATTTTAGTTACTAGTGATGTAGTGTATAGGAATGGTGACACTGTCAAGTACATTATGATATAAATGAGCTGGAAGAGGCTTATTTTATCTGAAAAGATGACATTTCTCAGCTAGGATAGGAAAAAAAGTTTGTGCCACAACTTCTAAGAACTGTATTGAGTTGCTAATTTTCAACTCTGATTAGTTTATAAATTAAACTTTATAATAGGAAGTATGTATATGTATGTATATAGATAGATAGATAGATAGATAGATAGATAGATAGATAGATAGATATGTGTATATATGGGATTTAGTTGTGTCTACACTTGGAGAGTTTCTTTGAGGATCTTGAAGTACATCCCATATAAATAAGGGGAATACAAGGATGACAAACATTTTCTTTCAGGCACTTTAACAGACTCTGCCACTTCTTTCTGAACTCTCTGGCTTATGGCGAGAAGTGGGATATAATTTGCATTTTGCTTTTCAATAAAATGCCATTTTTGTCTTGTTCATTTCAAACTTTCAAAGAATCCATCACAAACAGGAAGAAACTACTCTATACAGATTTTTGGATTTTTTCTGAATGATTCTGTATGAAGACATAAAGAGATCTTTATGAATGAAGCCAATGTCTCTCCATTTGCAATGACTTCTCTAGAGGAATGGAAATGTACTTGAATATTCTGCAGAGTCTGACTGAGATTTTGTAAATTAGACTAATGAGAGATGGACTAAAGAGAAAATCAGAAGTACATGCATCTAAAAACATTTAGGTATGGGTAGCAAGAAGGAGAAAAAAATAAGCAGGCACATGGTTTGGAGAGATGGCTTGGTGATCAAGAGCACTGCCTGCTCTTCCAAAGGTCCTGAGTTCAGTTGCCAGAAACCACATGATAGCTCACAAGCATCTGTAATGAAATCTGGTGTCCCCTTGAGGAAGGGATCTGGTCAGTCATCCTCATCAGCTTAGACCACAAAACCTAATATGGACAAGTCCAACAGAATGGCCATATACAGGCTGCCCATGCATGCTTCCAAGAAAATGTGGGGGATTTCTGAGTTTTTAGGAGCAACAGATTGTAGAAAGACAAATAACTAGAGTAGCTAATTCAAGGGAAATAGTAGTTTCAGCACAGTTAGTGATCTTTAAAATATAACATGTAGGAAATTATTCAGTTAGACATAAGGTTTAATACTTCTTAAACAGTCACACACTGCAATTTAAGATGACCTGCAGTATTCTCTTCATCCAGGTTAGCTTTGGACAGTAGAACTTCTCTCAGGCTCCTGGGTTCTGGGATTATAAGTGTATCACCACAACCAAATAACGTAACATTTTGGGATTGATAATTTATTCTGAAATATTGTCTCTTGTATTAAAGATGGTAATTTTTATTTGAACATTTAAAAGTATGCCTAGTACTATAAACTTAAAGAGTTTATTTTTCCAAAATTTCTGTCTTAAAGAAATATTGGTAATTTACTTTTCCACCTTGGATATAGTAGATTTTTACTGAATGATTTTAACTATTATTTTTATTCTCTCAAAAGAATTGGATTATTTGCTGTTGAATTATACAACAATTCTTAATTTAATGTGTATCAGTATTCTTAATCTATTACAATAAGAAAATGACATGTTATACAATGAGATACTAAAATATGTTCACATTGTACTTTGTTCCATGTCTCAATTAGTCATTCAAAAATGTTGAGAAATTGTTGAAATTATGGAGAATGTTGAAATTAGATGCTTTCAGACAATTTTCAGTACAAACAGGAAGGGCATTATAATGCACACAAGGCCACAAGTAAAACAAACACAATTTAACCGGTTAACCTGAAGATGATTTTTAAAATCTAGCACAACAGATGAATGTACACTGTTGTTGCATTTCAAGAAAGTTATTTCATTTTATATTGCTGCTCAGCATTGTGAGAAAAATGTGGAAGCTGGTGACAATTTGATATGTGAAGAGTTTTCCCTTAAACTGTGCATTGCCGAACATTACAGCTCTTGATTGCCAACCTTACTTGCGTGGAGACTGATTCACCAGTTATTATATCAATGTTCTGTTTAGAAGTCTCATGGGGCTATGGTCTACTTTTTATATTTATATTCTACCTACTACTGTATAATGTGACTGTGAACCTGCCAGAAATTTTCCTGTTCTTATTTGAATCTGGGAATGACTTTTTTCTACAACGGTTTTTATCACAGAGAGAAGTCTGCTAATCAAAGTACAGATTTAGATTAGAGTAGTTGGGCAGGCTCTGCAAAACAGAACAACACCGGGTGATGTCATTGTTATTTCTATTGTTAACATAGCCTTGAAGATTCAACAGAGCGAAATGTTGACAGGTGTTTTGGAAGGGTTAGAAAAATATTTCTTTTTCAATTTCTTTTGTGGGTCTAGGTTTGGAATCACTTACTTTTGAAATGGAGTTTCTGGAAAGAATCTTGTGTTTTTCACATGTTTGTATTGTTCAAGAACCATCAGTAGAGATGCAAGAACTCTCTTTGCACAAAATAAACTCTTAAGTATCAACTAACTACTCTGTTTATTGGTACCTGGCAGCTGCCCTGAGTCTGCTTAGCAGAATGAAGAATATTTTTTTTTGTTTTTTTAATTTTATTTTATTTTTTTCCTCTTTTTCTTTTTTTTTTATTGAGAATAAGAAAAAAAAGTTTCCGCCTCCTCCCAGCCTCCCATTTCCC